GGGAGAACAGAGATTGTTGGGAATTGTAGGTGAGGGGTCTCTGTCTCTGACTAGCTGGAGGCCTGGGGCAGGGCCTTGGGCCACCTCCTTGCCGCCTGGCGCATGGAAATCTCAGGACAGCCCAGGCCTGCCGTTAAGCCCCCTGTCATACCAGATCTGGCCACCAGAGGGTGCCTGAAACAGCCTTTAGCAGGACTGAGCGGGATGCCGCCTGGGAGCTGCTGGGCCAACAGGAAGAAAACAGGAGTGATGTCCACAAACATCAGACTTTCCCCCCAACCCTTCCTGGTTGGAGGAACCTTCCACTGGCATGGCACAGCTTAGGGACCTCCCTGAAGTCCTTGTCTTTCATGCTCCTGGGTCTGGGGACCCTGCATGCCCGAGACTGGGCAGCACAGGATGAAGGACCCAGCTATGTAGGAACGTGGGTCCTTAAGCCCTGGCCCGTAGCAGACACTGAACAAATGGTCACTGTTTTTAAATTATTATTATTTTCCGTGGTATTGGACTTCTAGAGGAATCCTCCTTCACTACTTGTGCTTTGGGCATATATCAGGGTTCCCTGTAGGATTTCATTTGGAAAAGAGTAGTGTTGCCAAGAAAGGATACCCCTCCACTGATGAGCATCGATAGCTCCGGAGGGCCCTGAAGAAGGAAGCCCCAGACAGGACATCTGTCCCCTGTGTTCCCCTCCCTGCTGGCCACCCTTCCCCGTGACTGTGAAGGGTGTGCCAGCACCAGCCCCAGGACACGGGCTCTTAGCTTGTTGGGACACAGACTCCTTTGAGAATCTCAGGGAAGACAGGAGCTTCTCCTTAGAAAAGCCGGTGTGTCCCACACATCTCAGTTGCACTTGTGTTTCAAGTGCCCAGTAGCGCATGTGGCCAGTGGCTACAGTACTGGACAGTGAAGGTCTAGAAGGTGAGGTTGGAACTGCTCCAGTGGAGGGGCTGCTTGGAAACCTGGCCCCGCCCACCTTCCCAGGTAACTTCACACACACCCCTTCAGGGACAAAAGACACACTCAGCCCCCTAATTCCATTTTTCTGCAACTCCGCACCTTCCTTCGTGTTGCTCCCTCCCCCCAGGGGTTCTCTGCCCCTTCTTTCCACCTGCCAAGGCCAAGGTCCAATGTAACCTTTCAGAATTGACCATCCCATGCCACCTCCACAGCACCGGGCAGATGGTGCAACATTCACGACTCTGTAGCAACTCCACCTGGTTTCAAATCCCAGCTCTCAGGCTTAGGAACAATGTGACCCTGGGAAGTCACTGCACATCTGGTACCTCATCTGTAAAATGGGAGTGATGAGGTACCTCTCTATGTGATTGTTTCTAAAGAGAATTAAGTGAGTGACTATGTTAGGTGCCTAGAACAGGGCTGGTGCATTATAACTGTTCGTCAGTGCTGGTTGCTATAATAATTATAATAATAATTATTATCATTGCCATCACCATCATCATCATCTTAATTTGAGCATGGCCCACAGTGTATGGCAGCTCTCTGGATGGGCAAGTAGGTTTTGCCTTGTTGGCCAGCTCCTGCATGGCCAGTGGCACCCAGGAGCTGGGGTGAGGTTCCCCTGGCCTCCTCCCTAGCAGTGCCCTTAGGGTGGATGGGTAGATCTGCCAACTCTCCTAGATGCTGGGATGCTGGAAGGATCTTTNTGCACACATGCGGTGGATCTGCCAACTCTCCTAGATGCTGGGATGGTGGAAGGATCTTTCTAGCAGGTCTTATATATGTCTATGCCTCCTTCACCCCCCCACTCCACCCCCCGGTGCTCAGGAGATGTTAGCTTAGTGAGTATTTGGAGATATTCCTCCAGCCTCATGTGGGAGGTTCCTTGCGATGGAGGAAGCCTCGGCAACATGCAGGAATGGGCCTTCTTTATGGGAGTACTCGTGCTCACAGTATGGCCGCAAAAGGAAGGCTGTGGCTCACCTGTTTCCCACGCCATCATAAACCCAGTGAGTGGAGCCGATGCCCTGATAGGCCGACGCCCAGTAATACAGACACGAGTTCAAATGCAAACTGTAGAGCAAGTAGGCGGTGGTCCTGATAACCCTGCCGAAGGAGAAGCATGAACACAGTAGCAGAAAGGGTGGCCGTGACATCTCACCCAGGGGAGGGGACGTAGGAAACAAGCCAGTCCTCACCTCTCCTGAAGCCCACCCCCCGGATGCCCCTGCTGGAGCTGCATGGCCTTGCCCAGCTGCCTGGGTGGACACTGGCCAATGGGATCAGCACTGGCTGGACCGAGCCAACCGGATGTTCTTTTGAGACCGTGCTGGTGAGGGATGGTGGCGTGTGAACAGCATTGTCAAGACCAGGGTCTGGAATTGGCACAGTGACATGTGCATACAGTCCTAGGCAGTGCATCCATGAGGAGGGGCAGAGAAGGGGCAGATGCGTGCAGAAGTGTCAAACCACGGGAAAGGTGGAGGGGAGCCTTGTCCCCGAGCATGGCCTGGCTGGTAGATGCCCAACCTCGGACANGGGAGGGGCAGAGAAGGAGCAGATGCGTGCAGAAGTGTCAAACCACGGGAGAGGTGGAGGGGAGCCTTGTCCCCGAGCATGGCCTGGCTGGTAGATGCCCAACCTCGGACATCTACCAGGTGGTCCACTGTGTCCTGACCACTGGTCCCCCTGTGTTTGAGCGGTCGGGGCGGGGACTTCAGTTCCCAGAGCTGAGACCAAAATGAGGCTCGGCTCCCTGGAAATATGGGGGTGAGCCATGCGTGTCAACCTACGTGTGCCCTCCTTACAATTAGGGGAAATGGGTCATTCCTGGTTCTCTAAAAAACAAACATCCCTCGGAGGAGGGCCAGGAAGAGGCCCGGCTTCCGGTGGCGGTGAGGCCTGCAGGGCCAGGGGAAGCGATGTGGTGGAGAAGGCTGTGTGTGTGTGTGTAGGGGTCTCACCTGTAAACATAGGCTTTGCTGAGGATGGATTCCAGGCGGCTGTTAAACTCAAAGAAGGCCAGATACTGAGAGGAAAAGCAAGGCATCAGGGCAGCCCGCTGTCCATGGGCTGATACCTCACCCTCACCCTTTAACCCATTCCCCAGCGGTGCCAGCACTGGGCTCTTTCTGGAACCCCCGGCAGGAGGGGGCTGGAGAAGGGCCAGTCAATATCAGAGGTCCTCAGCTCTCAGAGCGGCCAGGGCCAGAAACTCCAGTTACTAATCCAATGGAAACCACACTGCCTTTCCACGGGGGACACCCCTCACTGCCACCTCCCACTCTCCAGTTCTGCTCAGGGCAGACATTGAGATGCCAGCACCAGTGCCAATGCAGGTGAAAGCCTTGGATGGGGAAGCCACTGGTCTTACCTTCAGACAGCGGGGCAAACGCAGGAGGGGATTCACGCCGAATTTCAAGTAGAGAAAGTCCAAGGGCAGTAGGCAGAGCACGTCCATCTGAAATCCCAGCGGGACAGCACAGTGTGTACCCCCTCATAGTGTGATGGGGCCTCTACCTTCAATGGACAGCTGAGCTCAGAATGCCCCAGGAGGGCCTAAAGGTAGAGCAGAAGGCATCCCACCCACAGGCCTCTGTCTGACTGCCCCCCACCTATGCCAGCCCGGGGAACCACATCAGGCCGGCCCAGAGTGCCCAGGGCCCCCTGAGACACCACCTTCTGAGACCCCACGGACACTTGCATCCCTGGCACACACCTTAAAGCGAGGAGACTTCAGGTAGTTATTGCGCATCTCTTTTTTGTCCGTCTGGAAGAAAATGGAATAATGACAGTGAAATGGCCTGAGAGCTTGTTCCCTGATCTCAGGGGAGCAACAATGGAAATCCTGAAAGACCCTCCACCTTCCTATCAGAGTTGCAGCCCCTGGATGAGCAGGAGCCGGAATGGAGCAGCTGAGCTCAGGTGAAAGCCTCCAGGCATACAGGTGGGGAGGTGAAGCCCTCAGCGCGCCCCCCCCCCCAGCTGGGAGGGAGCTGTCCCAGGTCACCCAGCTAGACTCTGACTTCTAGGATGGAAGGCAAGGCTCCTGCACTCATTTTCTCAGCACCTTGGCCCTACCTGGACCATTTACAACCTCACTGACTAAGGAGCCAGCAATGACTCTGATCAGACCAGAAAAGGGGTTGCCCAGGGAGAACTTTTTGTTTTAGAAGCACAACCTCAACTTGTCTGCACACAGAGGAGCAGTTGCTGCCAGTGTGGAATTTTGAAGTCACCTGCACAGAGACCCAGGGACCCTGCCTCCTGCTTCTGCCAAATCACAATCAGGATTTCAGTGCTCTCCCTGGTGAGGGATCCCTGCACCACCAGAGCACAGGGTCTCACACTGGTTCAAGTAGCGTGCTCTCTGCAGGACCCCCAGCAGATACCTGTGCTGAGCACTCTGCCTACATCACCTCAGTCAGTCCTCACAGCAATGCTGTGAGGTGGGAACAGTACTATCCCCACTGTACAGGTGAGGAAACTGAGGCTCAGAGAGGTGATACAGCTGGTTGTGGCAGAGCCGGGATTTGGACCAGGTCCACCTGCACTAACAGCCATTCTCTGGGCCGCTTCTCCATCTCAAATGCTGTCAGGTGGTCCAGGAACTGTTTCAGCCATGAGCAATATTTGATTCTGTAATTTGAATGTATTAAAGGTGTATTGAGCCAGGCCGGGCATGGCTTAGCAGTTGAGCATTGACCTAGGATCCAGGAGACCACTGTTCGATTCCCGGTCAGGGCACATGCCCCGGTTGGGGGCACAATCCCCAGTTGGGGGCGTGCGGGAGGCAGCCGATCAATGACTCTCTCTTCATTGATGTTTCTATCTCTCTCTCTCTCCCTCTCCCTTCCTCTCTCTGAAATCAATAAAGATACATATTTTTTTAAAAAGATGTATTGAGCTACAGAGGCAGGCGTTCCCGAGATCCCCTTGTTGGTTTATCCTGTTGTCTGCGGGGGCATCGGGGGTCAGTGCACAGAAGGCTCTGGCTACAGAGTCTGCCCCCAGCCACCCACCCCACCTGCCTGTGACTCACAATGATGTCTCCTCCCTTGACAAACTGCAGGCGCATCTGGAACACGGTGATGTCCAGGACATAGATGAAGTCGCACAGGTAATCCATCAGCAGCCAGAGGTGGATGTTGTCGGGCGTCTGGTAGGGGAAGGCCCAGCGCACAGGGATCAGCCAGCAGTTCCAGTTCCAGGCCAGCACCACGAAGAACAGCCACAGGATGTACATCAGGTCTGTGGGGGAGAGGGGCCGGGACGGCTGGAACCTCAGCCAGGAGGGGCTCCTCACCAAGGGGTCCAGTGGGGCTTTCTTTCTCCCACATTCTGAGCTTTCCTGTAAGCACTATGTAGATGTGACACTTCTGTACCTTGTAGGGGGTCCAACTATCTTTGAATTAAACATAAAGGTCTTAATAAATCAAGTATTCGCAGGAGGGGACATGGGGGCGCTATTGGACAGTAGACAGCCAACTAGAAAACACTTTGCTTTCATTCTTGTTGAAAGTTTTCCAAAAATTTATTTCCTGCCTCAGTAAATATATAATAATAAATAATGTGTAGAAGATGGACAGA